TTGACATTGCTCGTCCTCGATGGGTTTTGGCTCCATCTTGGACGTCCTCACCAGGGGGCTCTTCCCCGTGTACTGCGGGACACCAGCCTAGTGCCCGCAGGCCGGGGACTCGTGGCTTGGAGGGCGGAAGGAGGAGGTCGCTGGAGCCCTCCAGGGGGAAATGTCTCCCGTGCCTCAGTTCCCCGCCTTAAATCACTTCTCCTCGGAGGACCCACCTCCATCTCTGTAAAATGGAAAGACATTAAAGTGCCGCCCCCATCTCCCCAAATTTGAGAAGTAACTTCTGTCTCGTGGGCAGCTTCTTCGGAGGAAGTGTGGGGCGTGCAGCCCCCCCTGGCGCGGGCCCCAAAGTGCCAACCCGCTGTAGAGTCACCTATGGGGACCCGGGAGCGGGGACCCACCCTCGCCATCCCCCTCCCAGGAGGAAGCTTTGAAGGCGATTCTTCGGAATCGCCTCCTCTTCCTCGGCTCCTTCCCTAGCGCGGGGGCGGGGAGGGCGCAGAGTCGTCTTCCCGGACACCGTCCGGACGGGGCCGAAAGCTGCTGCGAGGAGGAGCCCGGGGCCCGGGAGGCGGCCGAGCTCGAGGCCGGGGGGAGCCGAGGGGACGAGGCGGCCCGGCCGCCCCCGCCGCGCTCACGCCGCGCCCTCGCTCCCTCCCTCCCGCAGCCGCCGGGACCATGTCGGCCGAGCCCGCGAACGGCCCCACGGCGGACCAGGTGGAGATCCTGGAGTACAACTTCAACAAGGTCAACAAGCACCCGGACGCCACCACGCTGTGCCTCATCGCGGCCGAGGCCGGCCTCTCGGAGGAGGAGACCCAGGTGAGCCCGCGCGCGGCCCCCCCGGAGCTGCGCCGACACCCCGCGGTCGCCTTCCCTTCTCCTTGCTTGCCCGCCGTCGCCCGCAGCCCGGGAAACGCGCTTTCTCCTCCCCGCGCGCTCCCGCCGCCCTTTCCCAGGCCCGGCGTCGCCTCCGCCCTGACCTGTTCTCGGCGGGGACGTCCGAGCTGGAAGGGGCCTTGGCGGCCGCTAGCTGTGCATTCCGCCCGCGGGCCTGGCGAACGAGGCGAGCGAGGCGGCCGAGGCCGGCAGGGAGGAAGCCGTCGGAGCGGCGGGGGTCGCCGAGCATGCTCCGTGCACCGCGCCGCGCCGCGCTTCTCCTTAGCTGCAGAGCTGCGATCGCACGAAGCCAGGGAGATTTGGTTCAGATTGTTAAAAATCCCCCAGTTCTAAGGTTTAGAGTCTTTTTCTAGAGTTTTCCAAGAAGGTAGACATCTGACATTACAGCTGAAGGGAGTGGCAGCAGATGACCCCTAAGTGCTTACTGAGATTTACTTACCTATTTTTTCAAAAAATCTCCTATATTGCCCTGAAAATTGCTAGCGTAGGGAATGCAACGCTGCCCGTGATTATTAACCACAGGTGCAGTGTTGGAGCCTTTAGCCGACTTTTTTTCTTAACCCTGTCTAAACTCTGACTTCAGTTTTCCCTTTGGTCATGGAAAGACCACTTGTTGTGCATGATAAACTAGTCGGAACTGATCTCTCCAGAGGGAACCCAAAGCCCTTCGCGCCTCTCATCTCAACTCTACAGCAGAGACATTCTTATTCTCCCCGTTTTATAGACCGGAGCCTGGGGACTTGGTCCTCGCACCATGGGCCATTCTCAGTTGAGGTTTAAAAGTTTGTAATTGGTGCTCAGTGGATCCTAGGACCAAGACCCTACACCTTAAGTCAACATTGTTTTTACTAATTAAGCCAGTGGCACTTTGGAAAACTTGTCCAGAGCTAATCCTCTCCTACACCGGTCAAGGAGAAAGGCAAACAGATAGGTTTTTAGCAAATGACTAACCAGAAGCAGAACTTAATGGGAATTGATTTACTGTAACCCAAGTCTAACAGCTCATGTTTCTTAGAACCCCCTGAGGGGGCAGCCTGCTGCAGTTTTATCGTTTAAAATCCCACGCTCTATTTAGACAAAAGGAGTGATCACAGAGACAACTTATCTTTTAAAAACAAGGCTGTGAGATATCGGGGTTGCACCACCAAGGAGGGGTCTAATCCCTTTTCAGCCTCAGATTCTACCTTGGCAATTTACCATCCATCGCCCTACCTATAAAGCAGAATAATTGTGTTGACCTTGGCGATGGCTAATACGTGCCAGGTGTTGTTCCGGGCACTGTCCAAGTATTAAATCATTTATCTGTCCCAACAACACTGCGAGGGTAGGTACTATTAGCCGATTGTACGGGTGAGAGAACTGAGGCATGCAAAGGTTAAATAACTCGCCCAAGACAGCAAGTGAAAAACAGCAGGCCTAGGATTCGAACCCTGGCCGTCCAGCTCCACAGCCCACACTCTTAACCACCGTGACATACTGTCTGCACAGGGGACAGATGGAAACAGTTGGATGAGGTGGCAGGGAAGGACTGAAGACTCCATTTGTGCAATCTTTCTTCCTGAAAAAAATCCACGCATTAAGTGACAGTCATTCTGGGCTATATTCACGCTTTCCTCAAGATTCGCCGATATTAGAGCACTGACATGAAATCGGTTATGGGCGGGAAGAAAGACAGGGCATCTGCTTTTTCTGTGACTGAGGTCGGCCAGCTCAGACCTCTGCTCTCCTCGGCACTTCTCTCATTTCCCCTCTTCTGCCACCCTCAGATAAACAAATGGCAGCCCCAGGCCCCAAATGAGTGAGCACGGGGTGAGTCAGCCTCCTAGCAGGGCCCCCGCCACGGGGCCAACACCCTCTTCCTCCCTCGTGGCTGGCGCAGCTTGGCTTGCGCCTCTGTCTTCCTGCCTACACCTGCAGGGAAGCATCTGGAACCCCAGAGCTCAGAGAGGGGCAAAATTTAGCAAGTGCAGGGAAATATGCATCCTAGTGGCACAGGCTGCCTGCCCTCCCTTACTGGACTGGGTGGCATCTTTCAAGTGCCCGTCCTTTCTACCTCCTGCCACCCCACCCCACGTGCACCGGTGAGCGAGAACGGTTTCTTCTGTCATCTTCTCAAACGATAGATACATACATATATACATATGTGTGTGTGTGTGTATTTTAGTATCTTCTAAGAAAAGTGTCTTCTGGAGATATCATGCCCGATGATGAACATTCAGGCATTAATCCAATTATTTTTATTTACAGCAGGTATTATAGGGACCATTTAAATAACTCCATGGAAGCCAAGGCCTGTTGGGCCTACATACGAGCCATGTCTGTTATTAGTACTCTCCCCTTTTCTGTTCTTTACTGGCGCTGTCCCTTTCCATGAGAAAATGAAAAAGTAATATAAAAAGGCAACATGGTATTTATTCTATATACCTGAATCCTCACCCTGCCCTAACACCACCCACCTCTTGAAATAGAATCATATTCTTAATTGTCCTGGAACAAGTGATACTTTAGTAAAAGAAAAATAAGCATGAGATGTTCTCATGAGATAGTCGCTAGCACTGGTTCCCACTGCTGATCCTTTGGCAGGGGCGAGAGGAACGAAGAGATTGAAACGTGCTCTGACTAGGAAGGTTTGCTGACCTCCTCGTAACTCAGAATTCTCTGAGTGGTGGGGGTGGGGAGAGGGCACCCATAGGAACGCAGAGTGAAGTGGAGGATGATTCAATTGCAATAACTTTTTAAGTCGCGTTTAAATCCTAGATCCTAGAATCGGGATCCTAGAATTCGGGTTTTTCTCATGATAGTAATCTAAATATCTCCTACATTTAAATTAGATAACACCTTATGGAATCCCAATCCCTGTGTCTTTCCTTATTTTGAAGTCAGTGTTAGAAAGGGCTGGGAAAGCTCTTTTACCAGTCCCCTGGGAGGTTGGGATGATCTGGTGTTTTCTATTATTACACCACACACACACACACACACACACACACACACACACACACACTCTTCAAGCACAGTGTAGCTGGCATCGGGTCTTAGAGAGCTTTCCAGTATTTTTATCTCCTCTTGATGTCCCGGGCTTGTTCCCAGAACCCAGTGGTTTTAGTTGTTGGGTGTTTTATCAATGGAATAAAGACCTTTAAAGGTCCCTCCCTGAAAAGAATGAAATGTTAGTTACTAGAGAAAAGGACGGGAACAATGTCCTTTTGCCCCAACCCCTCCTCGTCACAGTGTATAATTATCGTCTGTTCACTCGGAGCAAATAAATCTCCACCAGTGGGCAAGGGTAATGAGGCACTCATTTATAAGCAAGCAAGGGACAATGTCTTTCCCAGGGGATGACAGAAACAAAGAAGACCAGGATAAAGCCAGGTGGAAAATTAGCATCAATGTGAGATGTGACTTATCTAAATTCACTCTAGAGAGAAGAAAGGCAAGTGAGGTATTTAACGGTTTTTGTTGGACAGCAACTGGTATGCTAAATTATTTTATATATACATATATGATGTAAAATATGTATCTTTAGAAAATAATTGAGCTTTTCTTGGACCTCCTTCCATCCCCCAATGCGCCAGTGCTAGGGCTTGATTTGTCAAGCGTTGGGACAACTCACAAAACCACACATGTGCTCCCTGCCGAAGTTATTTTTGGTAACGGTTCATCAATATTCTGCTTCATGACATAGTGTAAAGATGGGGGTGGCTCTTTTGAATAAGGCCAGCTCGACCATTTTGTCTTAAATGAATCCTGATAGAAAGTGAGATTTTCTTCCCCCAGATTTTAATTAGTCAGTCTTTAAAACGCTCCATTTATTCAGCTCTAGGCACGAAATCCTATTGAATCAGATCTTGTAGCTTCGAAACCCCCCACAGAGCCGCCTCATTAAGGAAACTGGAGCTTTGCTGCTCTCATGCCATAATCCGGAGTTAACTAACACACACGTGGGTTACGGGGGAAAACGTGTCTGCCTTTAGCAGTAGAACTCTGGTCGAAGCCGCCAGCGTTAACGTGAGCTCTCTCTTCTCTTTAAGGTTGAGCAAGCGACCCCCAAAGAGAAGGCTGCCTTCATGGTAGCCTACTGCCTCTGGCTTTAGGTACTTTTCTCTGCTTCCACCCCACAGTGTAAAGGTGTATAGGACAGCTGATCTTGACCCCCGTGTAAGGCATTTCAGCGCAGGAGCTATGCTGTACAGTCAGGGTGAGTTGCAGGTATGGTCCCATGCTGTTCAGTTTTTTTTTTTTTTAATCCCAGTTTTATCCTGATCAGCCTGGTCCAGACCCCAGCCCCTATTTCCCAGTGTGATTCTCCTAATCTCCTCTTCGAGGAGTCCCTCACCACCTCAGTAGCATAATAAAGGCAGCCACCGACTTACCGAGAGTGCGTCACACTGTGTTACGACATATAAAATGTTCTAGGCCTCACATGGTACCATGTCTGCAAGCAGCTCCTCTGGGGCCTTCCCTAAAGCCATAGTCACTTTTGTGAGATGTGAATATTTGGGTCATATAGAGCTGGGAGATTCTGAGTAAACTGGTAGGTCCACTCTGTCTTCTCTCACTGCTCAGTAGCCCTTAAGCAGGAGAGATTAGGCTGGCCTATTCCACATATCCCCAAAGAGGGCCCTGAGGTTGTCCAGTTCTCAGTTATTCATTCATTTTATTCGACAAATTCTTAGTTAGTTCTGCCAATGAATAAGGCCCTTGGTAAGACGAGCATGCATTGATAAAACATAACAGCCATAGTGATCTATCTGGGGGCATTAAGAAGATGCTTTAATTTCTTTTATTCATTCAACAAACATTGATTAATTTCCAACTCTTAAACCCTTATGCTAGGGGCTAAGGATGCAATGGTGAAAAGATGAATACAGTCTCTGCTTTCATGAATCTTACAGTCTAGGAGGGAGTATAGATCAAAAACAAGTAAATACACGAGTAAATCACGAAAGATATTAGAAGTTCTGTGAAGCTAACAAAGTACTAAATTGAAGAGTAAGGAGATAAGTGGGGAACCCACTTTAGATAGAGTGGTCAGGGAAGGCTTCATTGAGAAGGTTCTATTTAACCTGAGACCTGAGGATGGGACAGAGATCATCAATAAAGAATGAAGATGGGTGAATGTTCTAAACATAGGAAATAGTATGTGCAAATGTCCTGAGGTAGGAAAGATTAGTGTTCCTTGCTTCTCTCTTTTCCACTTGTGCCACAGAGGGCGTACGTTTTAGAAAGACAATGAACATTTCGGTTTTTCAGTATGTGACAAATATTTTTGCACATTTCTCTCTTCCAGAAATGGTTTAAGCAGCGCCTGGCCCAGTGGCGGCGGTCGGAAGGCCTGCCCTCAGAGTGCAGATCCGTCACAGACTAAGGAGACGGCGGGCATTGGCAGCTGGGCTCCATGAAGACCATCTGCTGTTTCTCTCCTCGGCTTAACCAAGCTGTTTTGGTTTCTCAGTGTAGTGTTGTGTTCCGTTGTTAGCTGTCCTGCTATTTAACACGATGTTGTATTTTTTTAATGTACATAACTAGAAAAGAAAATAACAATCGGAAGCTATGTGCAACTTCTGTGTAAAGCAGTGGCTTGGCCGGGCAAGTGGTGTGGCTGGCATTTCTCTTTGGGTCATGATGACAAAAGGTGTGAAAACCATCTAAGTTTGCATTTGACCATCGCCTCCCGGTAAACAATTTGTTTTCAACATCCATTTCAGAGCAATCAGGCCTTTGTTGAGAAGATAACATGATGGAGAGGAGAAAACATTTCCTTCTGAATCTACTTCCCTAAGTCGTTTTCTTTATATTTCACCTAATACCATGATGGTTGCGTGAGAATACAGGGGGGTAGTCAAGTCATTCAGATTTCATAAAACAGTTGTTTGGATTGTAGCTGGAAAGAACCCACTTAGGCTAGAAGACAGAAACTCCAACTGACAGAGAAGCAAGTAACTGAGAAAAAAATCCACAAAACGTCTTGAATTTACCTTATTTAAATGCATTGGTTGAATTTATTTTGCTAATTCAAATGAACTGCTTTTTGTCTCTAAAATGATATTCTAAATAAAACTTTAACTTTTTGTTGAAAATGCACTGAGTCCTCTGCAGATTTTTAACTGAATAATAAACATATCAAAGAGAAACAGACTTCCTGTGTAGTAGAAGCTGATTGGCCAGAAAAGTGGTCATTTCCCAAATCCTTGCCACTCAATGTGCGGTCCAAGACTAGCCTCATCAGCGTTAGCTTCAAGCTCGTGAGACATGCGGAATCTCAGACCCCAATCCAGACCTACTGGATCAGAATCTGCACTTTTAACAAGGCCACCAAATGGTTTGTATGCACAGGAAAGCTGGAGCAGTGCTGTTCTAACACTCTCTGCACTCAATTCACGTGCATTTACTATCATAGCACATTAAATGTCTGCTAGGGTCCCAGTGTGTCCCCCCGAAATTCATGTGTTGAAATTTAATCCCCAGCGTGACAGTGTTAGGAGGTGGGGCCTTTGGGATGTGATTAGGTCAAGCGGGCTCAGCCCCCTTGATGGGATTAGTGTCCTTGTAAAAGAGGCCTGAGGGAACTTGTTTGTCCCTTCTGCCGTATGAGGATACACAGAAGGCTCCATCTGTGAAGAATGGGCCCTCACCAGGTTGAGGGCTTACCACAATGTGCTGGAGGCTTGATCTTGAACTTCCTAGCCTCCAAAACTGTGAGCAATAAGTTTATGTTGTTTATAAATTAATCTAAGGTATTTTGTTATAGCAGCTAAACACACTAAGACACCATCTTAATAGTCTATTAGTTAAGATTGTATTTATTGCATGGTATTGCATGGAACAGTAACTTGATTACAGTGGATTAAGATACAGGCTTTTTTGTTTGTCTAAGTAATTGTTTTTACATACGACATCGGCAGGTGGGCAATCCAGGCCTGTTAGAGGGGTTCCCTAATGCTGTCAAGGAGCCGGGGGTCACTCTGTCTTCCCACCTTGCTGTCTTTAGCACACAGCTCTTGTGTTCATGGACACAAGATGGATGCCTGCAGCTGCTGAGTCTGCATTTCAAGCAAAAAAAGAGGATAGAGAGAGAGAGAGAGAGAGAGAGAAAGAGAAAGCAAAGGGCAAATGCCAGCTAAGACTTTCCCCTTTAAAAGGGTTTCCTGCAACGTTCCTAGCAACTTTCACCTACATCCCATTGGCCAGACTGGGTCACATGACCTCCCCTAACTGCAAGGAAGTCTGGGAATATAAGCCTTTGTAATTGGGCATATTGCTGCCTTGAGTAAAATCAGGGTTCTGTCACTAAGAAAAAAGGGGAAGATGGATATTGGAAAGGCCACTACCCTTAATCTGTTATCCAGCCTGGAACGATGCTGGTGTCCACTTCTGAACTCTCACCTACAAAGCAGGCACAGTCTTTCCAGCTGTCTAAAATGAAGAGCCCAACAGTACAAACACTAACAATTAAACAGAATATAAATGTTTACAAGACACCATTAAACATCCTTGAGCGCGCTTCCTTTTCCTCTACCTTGAAACGTTTCTTCTGTAAACAAACGCGCAGCGAACCCAGGGCTGAGCAGAACAGCCCACGTCTGGCACAGTCCTCTGCAGCCTGCTCGGCCGTGGTCTGAATACCTGCCAGTTAACCAGCTGGGCACAGAGTGTGCCTTTAGCTTGGGACCCCGAGAAGCCCCATTTATGGCCAGAGGATCACTTCCTGTGCCCTAAAGTCCAGGGTCCTTGAATGGCATGTGATGGGAGAGAATGAAGATTCAGAGTCCTTTCGAATGCACATTTGTTACCAAAACTAGTATCTCTGAGTTTGCTTTTTCGACTGTAAAGCAAAGATAGGGACACTCTACTAAATTAAATAAAGCACTTTGTAAATAGTAATGATAATTACTATTGCTACAAAGTACTAATAGGTAGGGCGACATTCATTTTGACACCTGAGTTAAGTCTTAATAAGAACCCAGAGCTCTAAGTTTTGTTCTCAGGAGTCTCTTCTGAACACCCAGGGTTGTATAGCAAAGCGACAGCACCCACCCCGGACTGAGAAACACTGCGCAGGCCTCTGTTCGCCTCGTGTCCTCGTTCTGCGGCTGCAGACGCTGTCGGTTAGCTGGACCGAGAATCGTTCCCAATCCCCTTCTCTGTTGGCCACTTTCTCTAGCGAGGCTGTAAAGGCTGGAAAAACTAAATACCCCCTTTTCCATCCTCCGGGGAAGCTGCGGTGGTCAGTGACACAGTCTGGCCAATGAGGAGTAGGTTGAAGACTTCAGGCCAAGGCTTTGGGGAAGGGTTTTGCATTTCTCGATAAAAGGTACACAGCCAGCAGGCTCTGTTCTTTCCTCCTTTCTTGCCTTAAACCAGGTTTATTTGTTCATTGTAGAAACAAAGATAAGCAAAAAAAAAAAAAAAAAGGGAAACCATTAAACCCGTAAAAATGACCCATGATCCCACCACCCAGAGGGAACCTCTTATTAACCTCAATATTAGGGTGTTCCAGATTGTGGAAGGCGTGTTTTCTATGCATATGGACACATGGAGAGGGGGAAGAAACTTGCCGTTGCAGAAGCTAGCTGCAGTTTGAACCATTGCTCTGAGAGGATGGAAGGATTCTTCCCAAGGAAAAACTTGGCTCTCTTGTTCAGGAAGACATGTTAATGAGTTTTGGGGGCTATGAAATATAGGTCTAGAAGGAGATGGGGGGAAAAAAGAACTCAGTGGCTGAACACAGTGAAATAGCATGAACTTAGTGCTTTGTCCCATGGAAACCTGAGGACATTTGGGACCCTTGGGCACTGGGAAAAGGGATCGTGGAGAATGATCTGGAATGAGCAGGCACCATGTCAGCGGACCCGAAAGAGCAGCTGTTGAAAGGCTGGTGGGCTTGGCTTAGGAACTGTAAGATGTCAAATGTTCTATTTTCAATCAGTATCTGTACAGTGCTGGGCTTGCTGTTGCTAGGCTGTAATGGCTGTTAGCTATCCTTGACCTTGAGGACAGCTCTGTATCGCCAAATGGCCTTGTGTTGGTGATGCTTTGGGGAATGGAGAAGGCGCTGCCTGCGCCATGCTTGCAGCATGCCGTGGGCTGTGGAAGTGCTTGCTTCTGTCTGCACCTCTTCTGAAAAGGATACCTTCACACTTGGGGAACTGCTCCCACCTCATGTGGACCTGGCAGAGCGGTAAATCCCAGCGCTCCAGACTCCCCAACCTACGACAGTCAGACCCAGGCTGCCCAATCTCGATGCCATATCCCTTTGCACGCATGGACTGAACCAGCGTGTGGGCTCTTGACCTAAGCTGGGCCAGAGTCCTTTGCCAGAACTTTCCCAATTGGACCTGAACAGATCGTTCTTTATTATCCTTTTGCATGGAGAATTGTGAGAATGGAGGCCTGGGGCTGCCAGCCGCCATCTACTCAGCCACAAGGAGAAGGAAAGGGAGAGAATGGAGCGAGGCAGAGATGGGAATGAGAGAGAGTCCTGGGGTCCTGGTTTCCACTCTTCCCGTGGGCCACCCCAGCCTTCCTGGCTCCGTGAACTAGTGAATCCCTTTCTTGGTGCCTATCTGTCATTTGTAAACAGAAAAGAGCTCTGACTAATGGCAGGGTGAATAAAGGAAGAGAGTTGTGCATGAAAGGAAGAACATTAGCCCCGAGAGTAACTAGGGATCCGGGAGAACCAGAAATGCATAGTAAGAGGTAACCAGGAGGATGAGGCCAAGAGACCTTGAGAACAACTGGGCAGAGTACCAGATTTTTCTCAGTCAATAGGGACTTGAGAAAAAATTAATTTTGCATATTAAAGGAAAAGACCACGGATAAGTAGATAATTTATGGACCTCCAGGTCACATAGTGTTTTGAACTAAATGCACACGTATGGTAGACATGCTTTTATTGCCTTCTTGGGGACATCTTGCTACTCTCTCAACCCTTGCCCTCTTCATGTGTAAATCTTGTCCCACGTATTCTACTGTCCACTAAAAGTTTATTTAAAAACCTCACACCAACTTTTTCAATTGTATCCCTGCCTAAGCTCAATGCCAAAAGGACTAGCAAAAATAATGGTCATCATATAAATAACTTGAAACTTTGCATTCTTTTTGTATGATGGAAGGGCTAAGAGTTGCTGGAGTGGACACGAGTCAGGCAAGGACCTGGGACGTCAGCCACTGCTTATATTGGCAAAGTAAGAGAATGAGATTTTTCTTGGTTTTACGAAGCCTTGTATTACGATGATGTGCTTTCACACAAACAATTTCAGGCATGACAGAGGGCTCCTAGAGACCCTGTCCTTCCACTTTGGCCATACCGGCTGTACTATTACAAGTATTTGGGTGCTGCTGTATGAGGATCCCGTATACATAAATTTCTTAGAAGAGTTTGCCAACCAAACTTAGAAAAGCATAAGCAACGTTGATTTGAATCTCAGCTTACATAACTCATCCAGCTACTTCCATGCAGTGATAAACTGACTCATAGTCATCACACATGAGTCATCCTCAGTGTTCCAGATCAGCAATGCAGAAGGATTTCTTTCTCATTCTAGATAGAAGCTCCCTCTTCCCACTCCTGCTTTAAAAAGCTTTTTATGTGGGAATTTGGCATTGTCTGGGAGTGAAGAAGACAGGTTTCTGGGGATAGTGACCCTGAGACTAAGAATCCTCAGGGGCACAGGAACTATGATCCAGAAGCACAGTTTATTCCCAGGGTACAGCACGTGTGCTCGTGTACGAGGAGGAGAGTGCACATGGATGTTTGTGTGGCCGCGGGGCAGGGGGAGGCACTGAGGTAGTGAATTGTCCCCAGCCCTTCTCCCCGTCTTCCTGCAGTTTTATCTGGGAGATGGCTGCCCATCTAAAGGCTCAGTTTTCTGCCCTATCTTATATTTGGATGGTTAGCCAGCCTGCAAGATGCCTCCAACAATCTCTGCCTCCTGGTAGCCACACCTTCGCACAGTCCCCTCCCACGCTGTACCAGGATGGTCTGTGTGACTAACGCAATACAGCACAAAGATTCTTGGTCACTTCTGAGATTAGGTTCTAAAAGACACCACAGCTTTTCTCTCTCTCTCTCTCCCCC